TGCATCTTTGAACAATCATGCAGTTAACAAGGCCGAGCATATGATGAGCACGCTTGCTTAATTGGACTTGAAAAGCACAATTTTTTTTTCCCCTTCTTCTTCTTCTTTAATTCTTATAATATACCAAAGAAAGTTTGTAAAAGAATAAATTATTTTTCAACCTTTGATTTCTCCTTTAGTTTGATAGGAAAAATATCCAAAAGGGAAAAATAACCAAAAAGATAATTGTACACGTACGGATGGCTGTAGGAAAATGAAGGTAAGATGGAAGATTCAATATGAACTCTACTTTTATTTTATATTTGTTGCCTTTAAACTAGATGCGCCATTTCTATATAACCGTAAGAAGAGTGACTTGCAATCATTATTACCAACTTATTTTCTATACGTACACACATGCATTTGAATGGAAAAAAGAGCAACAGGTGAAGAAAAAGAAATCTTTTGGAAAGGCTGCAGTATGACTATGCCCATGGTTCCGTTCTTTCAAAGTCGCAAAGGCTATACGAACCTTATTTTACGTATTAAGATATGTTTCATCCGTATCATTTTAATAATGCAATATGTTGTATATGTGAAACAATTAATAGAGCATGGAGGGAGGAAATATATCATGGTTATATTTTCTTCTCTTCAAGATGAGTAGTGACATTCTTCTTAAACCAAATTTCTTATTTAAAAAAAACGATGTAAAAGTTACACTAATATATTTCTATTTACACCTTACTCAAAAAATTCACTTAATTACTTTAAGTTAATAGTTTCACATCCGATCATATCATTGACTATAATTTTCATTGCCGATCATTGTTCTTCAAAAAAAAATGTTTTTTAATGAAGAGATTCTTCCCAAAGCGTGAAGTTGGAGACTGGGATAAGGATTGCATGAATATTTTTAGGATCAGGGAATCGGAATACGCTCGTGCGTGTGTCTTGTACCTTAATTCTCATCCCACTGACCATTAATTGTTGATTTTCAAGACGCAAAGAATAACTTTCCGCGAAGATGGATCTTCAAGCACTTTTCATTTTCAATTTAAATCAACACAACAATCATTTCAAAGTATTAGTAGTTGATTATTTTTTTTCCACAAATCATGATTAAGACTAGCTAACCAGAAATGCATGATGGAATTAAGAATCATTTACTATTATTATATTATATATATCTCTAGAGCGAAGAATATCGTTCATCACACTTTCTAGTTTCCAGTCATATAATCTCCCTATTGATTGAAAAAAAGGAAAAAAGAGTCGCATAATCTCTAATCCGCAGGGTCAGTTTGAATCCTGACGCAGATCGATCGCTCCACCCAACCACAGATACGTTGATGGTTATTTTTCCTTTTCTTTTATTGGACATTTGATAACAGAAATCGTCATTTCAGCTGATTCAAATTCAAGTCTGAATAAATTTCTTTGGAAAAATAATTTTTTTTGAGACAAATATCAATTGTTTGCCTATTGTATCGAACGAAGTCCCATAGCACTATAGCACTTATAGTGTTAGACATGGACATCAATTATCGATGATAAAAAAAAAACACAGTTACATATAAGTGAAACAAATATCTATCATCATTAATTATTAGAAAGGGTAGATAATTTGAAAGGTCAAGCGATACAAGTGTGTCCATATTTATTCTCTTCACCTTAGTCTGCATGAATTATCGTAAGAATACCACGATTCTATATCAGTTGTTAATGGCACCTAACACAGTATCGATACATCAAGACATTGGCACCGATGCACCACAATACGACAATCTTAACAAACAAATCATTGTATTCTTGGTTAATTAATTTGGGGTCAAACGGCTTTTTAGTTACACTAATGTCTTATTGGATGGAAGTATAAAATAATGATGATAGGCGAGGTCAAAATGCTTTGTAAGACCTTGTAGTATTGAGGTCTTTACGATTTGGTTTAACATTGAATCTAAGTGAGTTTGGTCGATTGTCATAGCAAATTGCCATTATTTTAGCCCTAATGACCGAATTTTTATCTAGATACAATAGAAAATATTTTCATTGTAATGACGAATTTAGGATTAGACCTTGGTCGTGATTATTATACTAGAGTAATTAGTATTAGGTTGGCTTGTGATGCAATGTAGGGACCTACCCAAATATTAAAGGATATCGACGTACCCGATTTAATAACAATATTCATATAGTTGATGCATTTTGTTTTGGTTGTACCTCCCAAGTATACAAATTTGCAAGCCTAATCAATGATGTTACATCAAATTTTTGTTTTTAAAGAAAATATTTAATAAGATTTTTCATCTGTCGTATGTACGTATACGTCGTATCATCATTAACCAGCACCAGGTTTATGATTTATGATCTGTGCGGATTCAGTCAGTCCAATTAACATCGAATCACAACTGAAATGAGAAAAATGAAGCTAGCTAGTTTATCATAATTCATACCTATCATTTGACAATTGAAACACGAATGTGGACAATATAGAAGGTGAAATCAACGAGCTATTATATGCAACCTAATGTTATCCATGTCGGTCGATCGATCTTAGATTATGAAGTGGTCCTCTTTTTTGGTATAAGTTTTTGTTGTGTTAGTCTTCGCCCGTTAGGATGTCTATGAATTTTCAAATTTGTTAATGATGTATTTTTCCGTCTGAAAATAAGAGTTTGATTAGTTGAATTGTTCATATAGTAATCATACGAGAATTTTTTAATATTATTTTTCGGAACTTATTAATAATTTGCACGGTTCTTATCATCCACATTCAAAAAAAAAAAAAAAATACCAACAGAAAGGTAACAGTAGCATACATAAGAAACTTGATTAATTTGAGTTTTGTTTATCTACTGGTTAACAGTATAGGAGTTTCACAAAAACGATGGTAGTGCATCTGTGCATGTATTTGCTTAACTAAACCGTATACGTGGGAGTATATTTATGCAATAATGCAAATAATAAATCCTCGTAAGAAATGGAAGAAATGCCGTTTCAGATGAATTAAAGCCAGCGGACAACGAATCGGGCTTCATCAAAATTTCCAATCTGTGACTAAGAAAAAAAAAAAGGACAAATTAAGAAGGCAAACAAACAAAGAAAAATTAGAGAAAATAATATTTGAGGCTTTTCTTCTTTGAGTGGGTGCGTGAAGCTTTTGCAACTAACTATTAGCCTGCTATATATAAAACCAGTTGACTTAACTTGAAGCCAAAGTTGTACTTGTCACACACAGAAGAAAAATAATATATGAATTATTAATTATATCTTTTTTGTTGTGTACAACTAGTGATATTAATTATACTTATAATTTTCATTTTAATTCGGTCTCTTTCAAGTTAATGTTGACCCTGTCTCTATCACAAAACTAATAAAAAAAAAATGGTACGTAAACAAGATAAGTATAGATGAGGCCTGTAATAAGTGTCTACGTACACATGAAGTGTATAAATTAAAGTTTATAAGTCCTCCCAATTAGCATCTTCAGGAGGTAATTTGTTTATTCACTTAACCATAATAACGTGTATTTATAGGGCACAAAAATGACCAATTACATCTATGTTTACACATAAAATGTAGATATATACTGACCAAGTAGTTTTTAGTTACGTGTGTAAAAGGAAAAGGACTTTCCACGATACAAAAGAGGACAATTGGTGTTATTAGATTTGCTTATGTGGAAGCCGCTTTTCTATGATAGCGAGGAATGATGATGAAATGTCATCAACAAGTTAATTTTTTTAATTTCAAATAGTATAAAATACAATTAGGTAAGCACGACACCGGCCTATATAAATGTTTTTTTGCGGAATTTGATACTAGTTGGTAGGTTAATAAACAATTTGGAGTAATGCATCAGCTCCTTCGCCCAAAAATAATTATCTTGTTTATCGCAGTAATAAATGAAATCGAATAGTTTTGGCATGATAACGTCTTGTTTGCTTGTTCGTAAGAGTAGTAAGTAGAGTTGAAATTTTATCAATTGCATAATCACATAATTCTTTAATCTCTATTTTGATTTGGAAAACGAATCAACAACATCAAAGAAACCATCTTTTTAGTTGCAAGCAAATGATGTCTTGTACATTAGTTTCATTTTGACATGGGAATATGATTTTAGTTCAATACTCTTTCCATTCCATTTTAGGAGTCTAACTATAATTTTAAAATGGGACTTATGGAATAACCAATACAAAATTCGATGGCAAAAATTCTTAAATCTTGACTGCTGTTAACTTTTTTGGCAGTGATGCTCTATGGTTAGGTTCCTGACCTGAGGTCTATTGATTTAGTCGATTTTTATTTACTTCTATGAAACGATTAAAAATTGTAGAATTAGAAGAAATGAAATAACGTGTATATTGCAGACGGTGATTATCATCTTGTTTAAGCTTTCCCCTGGGCTAAACTTTCCAAACTATTTCACAGAAAAGAAGAACACTTGAAGCCCAAAGTCAAATTAAATACTTATCCAAGTCCATCATCTGCTTCCAATTACTGTGAAATAAAGCCCAATTCCTGATTATTAAAGGTCTTATTTTGAGGAGGTCTTATGGGCTGTCTGCCGTTTTTCATCATTTCGGCTAATTTTCGGCGTAAAATAAAGACGATGAATTATGAAAAATATACCACCAAATTAGCAGTAACGGATTTGCATATTTGTGTGCGTGTGTGTGTATGTGTGTTTTGTTGTCCATATATAAAAAGGAGTCAATTTTGGCATGATATGTTTACCAATAGATGAAGAAACATTATTATGGAATTATAAAAATGGCATTAATGATATTTTGAATACGTTACTTATTTCCCTCTTAATAAATCTCTCAACATGGATCCTCAACCATTTATGTTTGAAAAAAGCAATTAGCCGTTACCTAATTACCATATGTACCATAATCCCAATTAATATATAGGATCTAGCTTATAGCCCTCATCATCATCATCTCTTACTGATGATAGGGAAGAAAATATATATTTTCACAGATTTTGGCTATCTATCTCCTTCGGGTTTGTGATTTGTGAAAATCTCTCTCAAACCACATTGAACAATATGAACCACTCAACAAGGTGTGCTGGTTGTAAGTATTTAAGAAGGAGATGCCCTTCGGATTGTATCCTTTCACCCTATTTTCCGCCAAATAATCCCCAAAGATTCTACTACGTTCACAAAATCTATGGTGCTAGCAATGTTACAAAAATTCTTCAGGTAATACTATAATATCTTTGTAAATGTTTGTTTCCACGTGCCATGCATATAGTAACATTAAGCCTATGTTTGTTAAAATCACTTGAATTTCGTTGTTGATTTTGGAACCTGCATGTACACATCTCACAAATTAGTATGTTTTAGTTGACACGAATAAGATTAAAATTGTGTATTATTTCTTCGAGTCAGAATAATTTCTTGGTTTTAAAGCCGTCTTCATCATGATGATTATAGTTATACATCATACATAAGTGAATTGAGTAACGGTGTAATTTTGTTTGTGCAATTGATGAGCAGCAAGTTCCTGTGCACCAAAGAGCAGAAGCTGCAAATGCCATGTATTATGAAGCATATTGTCGGATCAAAGACCCCGTGTATGGATGTGTCGGAATCATTACACTCTTGCACCAACAAATCTATGAAGCTCAACTGGAACTATCCCAAATTCAAGCTGATCAGATTGCTGTCCTAAATGGTCTTCATGCACAACAAGACCAATTCCCAAGTGAAGAATTTGGATCTAATTATAGCTTTCCAGGCTACCCTTCGGTTGGACATGGATCATTCTCTTCATCAACATTTGAACCTTCCACACCTCCGTTTTACTAGTAGAATTTGTGTAACCAGTTATAATTCTTTCGGTTTCCAATGAGCTTTTTTTCTTCGATTTAGTTTGAATATTGGGAAGGGAAAAAACACATGATTTGGCTTCTTGATATGTTGTATTTCCGATACTTTGTTGATAGATTTTCTCGGGTGCTTTATTGGTAAGTACATCCTTGATTCATTCCAATATCCTAGCTAATACTCACTCCGTCACATAATTATTGTCCAGTTTAGATTTTCATTTTTAGTTCAAATTGTACTAAAAGTGAAATCTTAAATTGGACAATAATTTTGGGACAGAGGGAGTACTAGAGATGAAAGATAAAAGATTCCTAAATGTCTTGATAAACACTTAACACCCTCTTTCCCATGTATAAAAATAATCTAATTTACTGAAATTAATCGTGTATTAATCTTTTTGTACTATTTAAGAAATAAACTAAATTTTATAGGACAAAAGAAGTTGATTTGGCTCATTTTTCTTTCTCTAAGTCACTGCCTGTGATTAGATAGTACAAAAAAAAAAAAAAACTTGGATTCTATTTTTTTATATAGATATTACTCATTCAACCAGTGAAAGGCAAAATTCTTTATTTTAAGTTTAGCCAATGTTATTTGTAAGATTGCAAGAGTGTGACTCATAGATATCACTAATAAAAAAAAATTTCTGTCTTCAAAATGTTTATATGATTGGATTGATTCTCATATCATAAATTTTTTTTAATAAAACTCAAAATTTTAAATTATACTATAATTATTTACGAAAAGGATAAGTAATTAGAATAAAAATATAAATGTAGACGGGCCAACATTCTCTAAACCCATGACACCTATGAGTGTTAAAGCCCATATCACACTTTCAGCCCATACACCTACAGTATTAAAGCCGGTGCCTAATTAAAAGGAGGAGAAAGGACAAAAACTTTATTGTCACTGTATCAATCAGTGATTACTTCTACTACTCTGACTCAAAATTCTTAGGACGCCATTAAGCTGGTTAATGTTATTTTTTGGAGCATAGATTTTCATAAAGGCCATATTACAGAATACTATTTAGGATCATTACACTATGATATGATGACATGATTTAGTCATTCAAACCTTAATGCTTAAAGGAATTTCGTTTACACACTCTTAAATGCCTCAGAGTCAGTCCTCACCTAGTTTTTTTTTTTTTTTTTTGGGTCATAAAATCCGTCCCGAAATTAGCTTCTCTCCGTTCAGATATGCTAATGTTATTCAAAGACAAAAGACACTTCAAGAATCATCGGCTTTAACAAAGTTTACCGATTTAAGGTTGACTGTATAACTCCCTCCGTCCATGATTCTGTTTGAAAATCCACGTTTTAATTGTTTTTTCTTTATTGTTGTCAAAACATTTTTAAAGGGCATGGGGACAGTTGATCTGTGTGGTTCCACATGCTGACTTCTAGTAGTTAGTGCGCATTACACTAACCCGAGTCTAGCCCCATCATTTGTTTTTGCTCTGTTCCACAATTTTCACGGCCATGGATTTTGCTCTGTCTTCATTCTGCAAGCCATTGGCCTCACCAAAATCCTTGGCAGTTGGCCTGAATCTTGATCGTTCATTGATTAATTTCAGGTCCAGTAATAATATTTCTACTTCAAGAGCCAAAAAAGGGCAGGCTTTGATTGTTATGGCCCAGAAGAAGAAGAAGAAGAAGCCAAAGATTGAAGGTTTAAGTGAAGAAATGAATTCAATTGCTTCTGAGGATTTGACTTTTGCTCCAGCCCGCAGAAGGGTTCGATTTGCTTTCAGTGATCTTCAGCAACAGCTTGATCATGTCTTGTTTAAGGTTTGGCTTTTTTGGGTCTTTGAACTGACGTTTTTAATTTGTCACTTAGCTAGAGTTTGGGTTCACATTGAGTTGACTCTTTCTCTGTCTGTAGTTCAGTCAGTTTAAACTAACAATGTCTCTTTTAAAATTTTTTGTGTTTTGTTTTCCGTTTTTCTTCGGCTGTTGAATTGGTTGGTAGATGGCTCCAAGTGGGATCAGAACGGATGAGGTGAGTAATTATTTTTCATTCTTTAAGAATGACCTTATAATGATGAATGAAAACACAAATGCATTGCCAAATCTGATGATCAATGTCTGTAACTTGATTGATTTGTGGAGGAAAAGTTTCTGTGAAATCTATGTTGTGTTTCTATTCTTGCTAAGAACAATGAACAAAGTTGAGAGCCAGAAGAAAATAATACTAGCAACTAAGAGATGCTGCAGTGAGTGAGACTGCTACAAATTACTTGATGGAAAGTTAGAAAAATCATCTGTGATCTTCACTATTGTTTCCTGTTGGAGACATGCTTTATAAGCTGCTTCTTGTCACTATTTGATAACCTTTTTGATGGGATTTTGCAGTGGTATGAAATCAATAGAAATGGTGAAGATATTTTCTGTAAAAGTTGGCTGCCAGAACCGGGTGTACAGATTAAGGGTGTTTTGTGTTTTTGCCACGGATATGGTGATACTTGCACGTTCTTCTTTGAAGGTTTATGATAATATCTTCTTAAGAAATCCATTGCTGCAAGTCATGATTCTGCTTTCAAAATTTGTTCTGATTTACGAATGGAAACTTGGATAATGAAATGTCTTGTTTTTCATTATGCAGAATGTATGTCTTACTTTCTTCCATGACGCGGTTAAAAGAGTGCTTATTTTGTATTTCAAACTTTATATGGCATCTCACTCTTAAAATGTGATTTCTCAGGTATAGCAAGGCATATTGCGGCTGCTGGTTATGCAGTATATGCCATCGACCATCCTGGTTTTGGTCTATCTGGAGGATTGCATGGTTATGTTCCTAGCTTTGATGGAGTAGTGGATAATGTAATCGAACTATACAAGATAATGAAAGGTAAGCCTACCAGTCAATTTTATTCCATTTGGAAAGACAAACAAACAACAAAACTGTGACTCCCTGAAATGTCATCTGTTTGCGCATCCTTTTTGTTCATTCATGCATGCTCGACCGGTTCTATTCTGAACAAACTAATCAGCCAGTGGTTCTTGTTTGTAATAACAGTTTCTCCATGGAAAACTTTGTTGATGCTAATTTACTCCATTTCTCTGTTCAATTTCCATGCTGTCAAACCATTGCTAATCCCATTCTTTCATAATGTGGTAGGAAGGCCAGAGATGGTAGGGCTACCACGCTTTTTATTTGGTCAGTCGATGGGAGGAGCAATTGCGCTTAAAGCTTTATTAAAGGATCCAAATGAATGGGATGGCATAGTTCTTGTTGCCCCAATGTGTAAAGTAATATACTCTTACTCAATCACTAGCAATGTCTTTACAGTTTAAATTAAATAGTTGTGCGAACCAAATAACAAAAGCACCACCTTCAGGCTTGAAGAATATTATGTCCATTGATAGGGAAAATTCATTCACATGCTTTACCTCTGCTTCTCATTCTCCTTTCTTTTAATCACTATATCTGTTGGTGAAGATTGTATGCAAATCTTAGTCCTGGAAGAACAAACCAACTGCTAGATGTTGAAATATATTCCAGTGAAAGTTTCCGAGAACATCTTGATTCTGTTTGATATTAGACTGTTGGTGTTACACTCTACTGATGCATGCCTACATGTGTATCTTCCGTTTCTGTTCCATCATATCACTGGATTGATTAACATAGCTTAAAACGGATGATGTTTTTCTTTCATTGAAACCATAATAAAATAGATACTTGTGGTCGGAGAAACAGTTCAAAATAGATAGCCATGATCGAGATTAAGTTATTCTTCTTTAATAATGATGCCGTCCATGTCCTTGTTCAAAACGCACTAATATCGCTAATGGTTGAATCTAAAAACAATGAACAATATATACTTTTCTTACAGAACTGTATGCTGACCTTGAGCTGCTCCTAAGATTGCAGAGGAAATGACTCCTCCAGTTCCCCTTCAGAAAGTATTGATACTTCTGTCCAATATCGTGCCAGAAGCAAAACTTGTTCCCCAGAAAGATTTAGCAGAGTTGGCATTCAGAGAGGCAGATAAAAGAAAACTGGTTTGTGCTCTAACTTTTGCATTATTTCAAGTCATCTTTATCATGATTATTGACAACCTTAACAGCTTCCTTAAATTAGCCTTGTGAAAAGCTATGACTTGATAGCACAATGTTGTGGAGCAAGTTGATTTTCTTAGGTTTTCTGATGCATTAGTTCCGATCTAGGCTTCCAAATTTTTTATAACTGACTAAACACATTTGCAGGCGGACTACAACGTAATCTGCTATTCTGATCAAACACGATTAAAGACAGCTGTGGAACTCCTAAACGCTACAAAGTTTATAGAGTCCCAAGTGGATAAGGTAAATTTACGGCTCTTCAGGGGGATAATGTCCAACTTATAGAAAGTTAAGCTTCTCATCATTTCAAAACTATGTAACAGGTTGCATCGCCAATGCTCATTCTTCATGGAGCTGCTGACAAAGTTACTGATCCTCGAGTTAGCCAGTTTCTTTATGAGAAGGCTTCTAGCAAGGACAAAACTCTGAAGCTCTATGATGGTAGCTATCACTGCATTTTGGAGGGGGAACCTGATGACAGAATCCTGGAGGTACTTAGCGACATAATATCATGGCTGGATAGTCGATGTGGTAAATAGAACTATTTTCACCATTTACTATGGTTCATCATGGGATTCTTGGAGCAGCTATCGTTGACTTGCTGTGACATCTTCACGCCATCTTCCGTTTATACTTTATCAATCATCCGTTCGGGTTCGGCTGCCAAGTGAATAGTTATCATTTTTTCGTAGCTATGCTTACATGGAAAATAATTGGCCAGTATTAGTTGTGGATTCATCCTTCAACAGTCAGCCTAAGGCTTTTCTGTTGAAGCAGTTAGATTTGGAAAATGATTGTGGTAATGCCCAAGTCAAAAAAAAAAAATAAAAATGCAGCAATTAGTGTTGCATCAGCTGATTTTTACTACGAATGCATTTGCTACCCGATTCTTGTGTCTGCATGTAGAGTTGCCTTAGGTCTTTAGTTTAAGGACTGAAGATAGGACTTCCATTGTATCTTTAACAAAATTGTATTAACCCAATTCCTCTTGTACTTTCATGATTCAATATTGGATTTCTTTATTATATTTAGGAAGCATAAACTCAAACACTTACAAAGAGCGTCTGGATTAAGTCATAGTCCAACCTATTTAACCAAGAGGCACTTTTGACATTTGCCCAAAATCTTACAAAAGTTTTGATTGGATTCATTGTTGGATTCTGATTCGTGAATTGGAACCTGATCCTCTTAGTGATATATATACTTGCTAATGTATGTTAACTACACATAACTCTTCTACATTAGTGATGAGAATAAGAAATGTCTTGCTGCCAATGTCTTTGTTTTCTTTGCAAATTCGGCTAACTTTGATTGTTACAGTTTTAATCGCATTAATAAAAATAAAAAAAAAATTATGTAAATGAAAAATCTATTCCTCACCTACCAAAAAAGAAAAATAAAAGAGGAAAATTTCCATTTATTATTGCCTAATCTTGGTACTTTTACAAAAGATCCTCAAATCTGCAGGCCGATATTATGATTACCGAAACGTGTAGGTGAAACATAGAATAAAAGTAAATTGAAGGGACCATGTCGTGTAGATTTTCGCTGGGGACAAATCACCGAAACAGCACAGAAACTCTCCGATCAAACACCTTTTGAACTTTGTCCAACTGCAATCAATGATCAAGAGAGACCCCCTTCATTTTTTCCACATAAACCCAATAAAATAAACTAAACCCTCATTGTAGATCGGCTTCAAACTTCTGCCCATGTCGATTCTGAATCAGCTTTTCAACCGGGGACTTCTTGGCCAAAAATGGTCAGTTCTCAACTCCACTTCAGGATTTCTTTTATTTATTTTTTGTTTATCCTCTTGATGATGATATGGTGGCATTGAGCAATTACTTTGTGTTTTAATTCATTTTACTGTTAGTTAAAATTGCTAACTTTAACATTCGCCGGATGATATGCACGTTTCAAGGGCATGATTGATCTTCTCTGATTGTAAATTTATGAGCTTTAATCGGAATTCAGCTGCTAGGTTTATTAAAATAGTGGGCTTTACTTTCCAGATTACTGTTATGTGGAAATGCAGTGCAATCTTTCTGAATTGCTTTCTAAAAAGTTGTTCTTGATCTGTGCTGTAGTAAAACATGTTTGACATTGGCAATATCCCGCATTAAATTGCTGCAAAATAAGAGAGATGGGCAGCTTAAGCTTATGCGTAAGGAGATAGCTCAATTTCTGCAGGCTGGCCAGGAACCAATTGCTCGAATAAGGGTACAGTTTTTTAGTGTCATTACTGGTTGGCTACTTGTCATTGGAACTGGAACTTCATCTTGATAAGTGACTTATATTTGTGTGCTCCCTTCGTTGATCAGGTGGAGCATGTTATTAGAGAACAAAATACCTGGGCTGCATATGAGATTTTGGAAATGTTTTGTGAATTTGTTCTTGCCCGTGTTCCGATTCTTGAAAGCCAGAGGTAAGGTTCTTATCAGATGGTTTTGGTCTTTGAGTGATGGAATGTATATATTCAAAGTTTTGTTTCAAGGCTGCCACTTGGAAGAAGGATTTTTCCATTTGGTTTTCACTTTGCTGAAAACAAACTACTTGATCCTTCTTATAATAAGTTTGTACTTTGGTACTTTATCTTTCAAGTGGAGTGAATTTTATTCTGGAACATGGAATCTTATAGTCTATAGAGAAACAATATAATCATAGTCACTACCTGTGGAACATGGATTGGCTTTGCTCCTGGAGTTGGTGGTAGTAGTCTTTTCCTGATACACATGTTGTTTGAAATAGTTTGTCAAACACAGTAAATGTGCATTGTGCATTTTGCATTTTTGATATACGATGCACCCTTCATGATGTAGGGAATGCCCATCTGAATTGCGGGAAGCTGTGGCCAGCATAATCTTTGCTGCTCCTAGATGTTCAGATCTACCAGATCTATTGCATGTTAAGAATTTATTTGCTGCAAAGTATGGGAAGGAATTCGTCGCTGCTGCTTCTGAGCTTCGGCCAGACACTAGTGTCAATCGTACAGTATTGACTTGTTTCTCTATCTTGGTTTTCCAGACTGTCTTTTCAGGGAATTTCGTCTAATACTATGTTCTTTTGCCTGAATTGTCAGATTATTGAGAAACTCTCCCCTATTGCACCATCTGCAGAAGTAAAGCTGAACGTTCTGAAGGAAATTGCTCGAGAATATAACATAAACTGGGATTCCTCAAAAACTGAAGCTGAATTCGGCAAGAAACCTGAGGATCTTCTGGTACGGTCCATTAGTGTTCTTTGTTTCCCATTCTCTAATCAGCTTACAATTATTTTTAAAAAAGAATCAGTTTTCATTTTCATTTTCTTCCTCTTATTTTATTATTATTATTATTTTTTTTTCCATTTCTTGTAACTTATTTGTTCTAAAGTGGTTGGCACTCTATATTGTAGAATGGACCAAAGCAAATCGCGCCGCCCACTATTTCTATCCCTGAATCAAACTCTCAGAAGCAATCACCTGTTCTCGAGCATTCGATGCCAAATTCAAGGGCGCAAAGAGACCATCTACATCAATCTCCTACTGCATCCAAGAATTCATCCCCTGTAGCCCTTGACAAGTCCAAATCACTTACCAAGGATCACAATACTAAACCAAGTACAGAAGCAAAAGATACAGGGCCGCAATCATCTGATGCATTGGATAAAGCTCGGGCTGCCATTGCTGCTGCGGAGCGTGCATCAGCTGCTGCACGTGCAGCTGCCGAGTTAGTAAATAGCAACTTCAGCCGAACGAATCTTGGGCCAAGGAGTTGATGCAATTAGATCAGCTTTTGTGATGTCCCAGTTGGTAACTGATAAAAATCAGGGATTGGAAAGCCAAGTGTCTATGTGTAGTTTACAACGAAGTAGAAAAGCAAAGATTAAATAAGGAGAATCATTATGATGGTACGTGAAGCATATATATGCATTCAGCCAGTGTTCAATCCAGCGAATCTGCCATAGTTGGACCAATGTACATAAAATGATCTGGTCTTTTACCAGAAAAACTTTGATTTTTCCAGAAGTGCGTTTCTTAATTTTCTTATATTGTGTATTTAAGCTACTAATTCTGTATTGTCATGTGTCATTTGATTTCAGTACTCTCATTTGAACCATTTTGTTGATGGCTAAACTTGACTAGTTGATAGCTTTTTTGCAACATTTGATGCTAGCCTTATGTTTTTTTTTTCCTGATGCCAAAATCTCAGGCATATATATTAATTGGGTTGGGCTTTTAACTGGAATTTCCCATTTAAGTCACTTGGGCCAAACAAACTTGCCACAAAATTCATGACTAGGATCCAAAAGTCATGTTGAAGCTAGAATTTATTATTGTTATTAAATTTTTTTATTTTTTTAAAAATAAAACACTTGTGTTAATCGAAGAAGGAAAAAGTGATGCGATGATCGCACAAAACAGATTTCAAAATTTAAATCTGGCAATTTGCAAGTAAAAAAAGCCCTTTTTTATGTGACAGTAGTAGGTCTCACAAGAAGTATTGAATGAAACTTTTGTTGTGGTTTTTTTTTTTTTTGGTTTTATTTGAGGAGTAAGTACAAGGTAAAAGAACCTTGCTTTGAAGATGCCTGTGGGTAGATTCTGGGAGCTGATCTGGTTTAAAATGACTTAAAGAGAGACAAGGAGACAATGTTTTCATGACTACCTCTGAGAGCCTGAGTTAAATCAAGGTTGTCAATTTTTCCTTTGCTTTCCTTTTGTAGGTAGGATATCTACTTCTACTAGTAGTATTCTTTTTCCATCTAGGATGAAGCAGAATATTGTTGTCCTTGCTGTTTTTCTTTTTTATATTTCTATATTCTTTGGAGCACAACTTACTCCATTACTTAGTTTAACTTCAAAGAGAGTGTAATTTCATTTTACTTTTTTTTTTTAAGGTTAACCCAAATTAAGGAGAAGTTTAACTTCAAACAAATTGGCGGGGGCTCAGAGGATTGGGCGACATGGTAAAGACAAATATTTGTTATTACGTTATGGTCAGGATTTAATTTTCATCGAGATGATTTAACCTTTATTTCTGGAAAAGAAAAAAAAAGAAATTCATTACCGTGATATTTCGAAATAGTTAAGGGTCTTAATACAAAAAGTATATATAGATGCTTTATATGGGAGTTTATCTGTATATAGTATATACCACATTAGGGTACGAAATATACAAAGTAAATGCACATAACCGAACTAGTTTGTCTATCAGATATATAGTAGTAGTAGTATTAACTATCAGATATATTGATTAAAGAAAGAATCTTTTATCTCAAGACTGGTTCTTTTCCTTCTCCCCCAATAACAATGGCCACTAGAGATAAAGAGTACTCCAATATTTGTATCTCCTTCACAAACTCACATTTATTTTTTCTTTCTTCTTTTTTTTTTCACTTTTAACATCACTTTGACCAGTGCCTCCTAATACACACACACACACACATTGAACGAAATTGAATAAGACCGTGCCTTTTGGTTTGCTCCAGGCTCTATATATATGTACACGCATTTTGGCACTCATATGCAGGCATTACGACAGTTATACTTGTCTAGCTTATTTTTATGTCTCAAATTTTCACCAATTAACTTGCTTCCATTATTATTCTCATGCAAAACCCTTTTTTTCTTTTTTTTCTTTTTTTTACATCATAGTATATAAAAATCCTGCTGCTAAAGTCACCACCATCGTAAAAGGACACCCCTTTGTATGAATATTCAAGAAACAACACACACACACACACATCTCTGGCTAGTGAAAGAGATGTGACAATAGTTTTTCGTGGCAGGAGAAAGCTATAAAGGAGTCACAAGTGAACAAAAAATTCATAATCAATGAGGGGGTCTAGCTATATATAATACGTATAGGTGATGATGATTGATAACATTGATGAACTTAGTAGCGGTATATATATTTTTCAAATAACTTCAAATACAAAAAATAACCAAAAAAAAAAAAAAATCGCTAGAACCCGTGCTTTAAAAGAGATCCACTTTGAAACTACGTTGATATTATTGAAGTGAACAGTCGTTTTCGTCTTGAATTACGGTTTTTCAAATGCGGACACATTTATTTCCATTGGTCAAAACGAAAGATCTTCTCTGTTCATCACGCTCTGCTCCCCTTCAAATATTTCTAGCTACTCGTCTTTTTTCTTTTAATTTCTGGATCTCCAGCTATCTCCTACTATAATATATAATAAAGGGTTTTCTAAAGAAGCAGATGATACATTGCCAATGACGTTTTCTAAGAAATGTATAGCTTTTTTCAATGGTAGGAGATGTAAGAAAAGAATATAGTAACTTTTGCTAATTTTGTCCTACATAAATAATCTATTTTCTTGTATCAAAACAACTGAATAAAGTTTACAAGATAATAACTCTTGTTCAATATTGGTGTAACTAATATTTACCGTAGTAAATTAGAATTAGGGTTGTCCCTTATGTGTATATATATACGGTGTACATCTCTGTTAATAAATCAATGAGGAGAGTTTTCTATATTCCTAATTAACTTGGTACAGAGCTAGGTTTCTCTTCATTACTATTATTATTATTTTTTTCTCCTCTCTCCCGGCGGCGCCTCTCTTACTCACGGCTGCCACTTTTCTTTTCTCTTCTTGCCGGCGTCTCTCTCTTCCCGGTGATCATTGATCCCGCTTCTTCTTCCTCCTTGGCAAATCACAACATCTGCACTCATCGTTGTTGGTTCTTGTTGGTCTTGCTGCAACTTTCTCATCAGTCGGCAGCCGCTTCCAATTTTCTTGGAGCTTCGTTTCTCCGCCGCCGACCGAATTCTTCTTCTTCACTGATTAACGCAGAGTTGCCCCCCAGTGTGTCCTCTGGTTTCTTGTTTTGCTGGTTCTTCGGTTGCCGGCTCCTCCCCATATTCTGCTTGGGTGCTGGCTGATGTTCGTGTGGTTTGTTGTTGCATTCCTTCTTTGCTGCTGCGGCTGTGCTCTTCTCCCTCTATTCATCATGTCTGCAGTCTCTTCAACTGTGCAACCTAATTCTCAGTCGGCGAACAACTCCACTGCCATGCCATCTCTTAATCTCCAGCCGAGTCTTCAGTCCCTCAATCTTCGTTCACCGTCAAACTTCAATCAAGGGCCAATTATCCAGCATGGTGGTTGCAATTTACTCCCCTGCTTAACATGTTCAAAGTCTCCGGCATTGTTGACGGTTCTGAGCCCCAACCACCGCCTTTCCTTCCTTCTGTCGGTGATGCGCCGCCTCAACCAAATCCAGTGTTTGATGTGTGGCAACAGAAGGACCAGATAGTGCTGTCATAGATCCTCTCCTCTGTCACCGAGGATATATTTCCCACTCTCCAAGGAATAACAACTTCGACGACTGCGTGGTCGGCCATCCAGCAGGGTTACAGCACCCTTTCATAAGCACAGCAGACACAATTAGTTCTTGAACTTCATAATCTTCAAAAAGGAGACCAATCAGTCTCTTCTCTACTTCATAAAGCCAAGGGAATTGCCAACTCTCTCAACCTTGCTGGACACAAAATTTCCGCGGCTGAGTTCAATGCCATTATTTTCCGGAAACTTGGGGCTGAGTTTAATGGCATCATTGGTGCTTTGCAACAGCGGGATGCGCCTCCATCTTTTCAGGATTTGTTGGGACAATTGGTGTCTTATGAATTTCTTCTTCACGCCCAGCAACCGGTTGCTCCACCGTCGGCATTGCTTGTGCATTCCTCACTACCCGGAACGCAGCACCCGACCTATCGTGGCATTGCTCAACCGACACCTCGTGGTGGTCGTTCTCAGCGTGGTGGTCGTTGCTTCCCGTTTGGTGGTCATGGTGGTGGTCGCCGCGGCTACTCTTCTCCGGCCCCTGGTGAAACTTGTCAACTTTGTGGCATTTTGAATCATACCGCCGCTACTTGCTGCCGCCGATTTGACTCTAGTTTTGTCCCTCGGCAATCTTCGCCATTTGCAGCTTACACTCAGTTTGTGTCTACGTCTCAGAATGCACCAGGGTTGTTGCCTTCTCCTTATCCGGACTTCATTATGTCCTCTCGAGCTCACATGGTTCAAGGTCTGACTCCTATTACTCCTTGGCGTCTTGATACTGGTGCTACAGATCATGCGACTCCGGATTTGTCCTTGCTCAGTATCTCTAATGACTACTATGGTAAGGATCATCTTCTTGTTGGTAACGGTGCTGCTTTACCTATTAAGCATGTTGGTCAATCTGTTTTGCCATCGATTTCCCGCCCTTTATTTTTAAATCGTGTTTTGCATGCTCCCTCCCTTACTAAATCACTCTTATCCGTTCAAAAATTTGCCAAGGATAATCATTGTTTTTTTGAATTCTATTCTGATTCTTGTTGTGTTAAGGATCTCTCAACCAAGGAACTGCTTCTCCAAGGTCGGGCTGATAATGGTCTCTATCGCTTGGATCTTCCTGCTCGTGGTTCCGTATCTCCAGCCGCTTATCTTATTTCCCTTGGTCAATGGCATGCTCGTTTAGGGCACCTTAATAATGTTACCCTTCGTAGTTTAGTTAGATAGTTTCAGCTTTCTCATTCTTCTTTGTCCACGTCCATTGATAAATGTGAGGCGTGTTGCTTAGGGAAGTTGCATCGAGTCAGTTTGTCCTCTACATTTCATCGCAGTGCGAAACCTCTTGATTTAATTCATATTGATGTTTGGAGACCTGCACCCCTCTTATCTTTTAATGGTTATCGTTATTTTGTACTTTTTGTGGGTGATTTCTCTTTATTTACATGGCTCTATCCTATCAAAAATAAATGTGATGT